GGAGGTGCAAACGTAGCAAAAGGTCTCCGTTTTTAAACGAAAACGCAGTAGTGTGGACGGGGCCTCAGAACACACTAGCATCAAACACCAATACTGAAAATACACACTTTTCATTTTTACAGTTTCAACAATTTCACACTTCATACAAAGTAATATTTTCTTCAAAGAAAACAGTGACATTCTTTCATTTGATATTATTACATTTTTAGAACATAACAATTGAAAATTAACAGTTTGCTTCAATAGTCTGTAGTATTACAGTAATGAGAAAAAATGTAGAAACTAAAAGTACACACTGTAATACTGTAACCCTGCCTCTCTCAAGCATTAGGCCACAAGTTTTCAGCCTTTCAGCTGAAATACTTTGAAAATCAGCATGTTGTGTGTGTGTGTGTGTGTGTGTGTGTGTGTGTGTGTGTGTGTGTGTGTGTGTGTGTGTGTGTGTATTTATGCATAACATGGAAATGTTTTTTTATTGTTGTTTATTTTTTTCACTTTTATTTATCTACATATATGTTTATATATTACTATTGCTTTGGCAATATTGTGCTATTTTACAGTCATGCCAATAAAGCTCAATTGAATTGAATTGAATTGAATTGAGAGAGAGAGAGAGCACTCAGCAGTGTGTGTGTGTGTGTGTGTGTGAGAGAGAGAGAGAGAGAGAGAGAGAGAGAGAGAGAGCACTCAGCAGTGTGTGAAAGGCACAAGGCTGAAATCTGTTGTGTTTTGAATGTGTGGTTCACAGTTTTGACAGCAGTGTGTTTGCATTTGAACAAAGTGCTGTAAATCCACAGTGTTGTGCAGGTTGTGGTTAAAGTCATGGGATAAGTGTGTAGAGTTTTGAAAACTGTTCAAGCAATGAAAAACGATCTAGAGTTTGGTCCACATGAACTGCTGCTGTGCAGATTTAGAGTTCAGCTAACAGTCTCATCCCAAGTCATCATATAACTGACGTCCTGGGACGTCTTTTGGCCATACGTCAACATCCGCCTTTTTAGGGTACACTTAAACATCGGTTAGATGACGATCCCGGGCCGTCATACAACTGACGCTTTACCTTTAACGTCGGTTAGGTGACGGGGTAGGTTTAGGTCTGGGGTAGAGTTAGCATCCGATAACGTCATCTAACCGATGTTTAAGGGTACCCTAAAAAGGCGGATGTTGATGTATAGTCAAAAGACGTCCCAAGACGTCAGTTATATGACTTCTTGGGATGAGACTGCGCTGGTTCAGCACATGTAGCTCCAGTTGTGCTCACTGTCATTCAGCAATCGAAAAAAACTGTAATACATATTGATCTTTTCATTAGATTTCGTAATAGTTTTTATTTGAACATTGAAGGGTTTCTTAAGGTTATTAAATGACATCATTACTGTTATCTATAATATGTTTATATTAAACTCTCAGTCACATGATGATTTTTCAGTTCTTCTGCTTTTATTGTTCATTTTATTGGTTGTTGTTTTAAATGTGTCATTATAATTATTGTGGTGAGATCTGGTATTACCTCAGCCCTGAAGAGCGCCTGGTATCGAAGTGGCCAGGTGCCTTTTGCTGTCAGGTCAGAATTTCTGGATAAACGTCCCTTCTAGCTCATTTAACCCATACCAGTAAATCTAGGTGTATCCCTACACTCATGTGAACCAATACATTATTACTAGCAACAACCATCAATTCAATTCATACTCACCCTCCGTGGAGATGCTTCCGTGGAGTCCTGGTGACCTCCTGCTCTCGCAAGAGTTGATCTAATGCTCTTACTATTGCTTATAGAACTGGTATTGTGAACTGAGGTAAAAACTATTCCACTTTTGTCTTTAAAAAATGAAAATTTATTTATACAAACAATTATAACACTGGTTACAAAATGATTGGTAATAGTAGCAACAAAGGAAAAGGTTACAGATTATAATTCCTCAATATTTCCCAACTTAGCAGGGCAGTCCTGTATAAGTGGTTCAGTCACAAAGGTTTTAACATACACAGTTCAAGTATCAAATGAAAATTTAACCTTGTCTTGTTAAGAGCATGTTAAGTTAACATCATACAGCTAAGCAGTTAGATCAATAACTATTCCAGCAAGCTGGACTGAAGAATGATTACCTTCAGGGATGCACGCAAAAATCTTGATTTAAGACGCAACAACCAACACTGAAAAAGCAGCCTTATTTATACTGGCTGTGATGCACTCTCAGATCCTCTGGGTTTTTCCACCAGATGACACTCGTGACAACACTTGTGACTTAAGAGTCATGCGACTCCTAGTTCCTCTTTTGAGACTTGCTGAGCAGGCACACTTTTCCCTGAGTGTGCATTCTTCCTCCCCTTCCGAGTCTTGGGTTCTCTGGTCCTTCTCAAATGTGTGCATGCATATAAATCCATATGTGTTTTTGTTAGTTCATTAAAATCTAAATTAATCCCTGCATTATTCAAAACTGAATCAAATAATATCTTGATAAGTGTAAATGTTTCTCCTGTAGTTTTAGTTTCAGAGATTGGAAACAAAACTGGACGGATAATTGAAATATTTGGCCTTGTGGCTGATATGATCTTTGATATTCTGCCTACTTTACAATTCATGATCCTGTTCTACACGTTTGGATCTTCTGGAACAGGTGATTCATATTCATAATGATTTGTTCATCTGGGTTCATATTATTGATAATTCAACATATTTGAACATTAGTGTCACTTTAAAACACTCATTATTCATGAATCTGATGTTCATTATGATTTACTGTAATCTTACATGTGTTGATGTCTTTAATAACCAAGACATTAATAAACATTAATATACTTTCTCTCCTGTTTTTAGGGTTCATCATTGTTGTCATTTTACCAGTGTTTATGATGATGACCAATGACAGATGGTTTTACAGATGCTATAATAGACTCGACTGTGAGTATTTGATGAATCTGATCTGTGTGTAACTGTATTAATATCTCAGTTCTGATCATCAGTGATGACAGAAACACGTTACAGTGGATCTGAACTAATTCACTGAAACTGATGACAAGTTTCATCTGCGATTCCTGTAATCAATGACACTTACAGAATCATCTACTTCATTACTTGTGTTACACATATATATTTCTAAGACAATATTATTTATTTTTCATAGGCTGCATTTACATCATGAGTTATGCGTTGTGTTCATACGTGAATCTGTTTGTGATCTGCAGTCGGTGGTTGATGATGTCAGAGCACATCCGGTTTCTAGTTTAGCTTCGACCCGCTGCTCCAGTATATAGTAGGTGAATGTTTGGGTGTTGCTAGGGTATTCTGGGTGGTTGTTATGCAGTTGCTAAGCTATTCTGCTATTCTGATTGATAGATAGATAGATAGATAGATAGATAGATAGATAGATAGATAGATAGATAGATAGATAGATAGATAGATAGATAGATATAGACAGACAAAATGGAAGCTTGATTGAGTATAATGGGCTTCTGACACACACACACACACACATACACATGGTCTCACACACACACACAGCTGCGGTTTCAGAAGAGCGTTTGAGTTGTTATTATTATGATTTTTGTCATGTGATCAATCACTATTAAAGAACTGAAACATCTGTTGTGTTTTCAGGTGTTCAGCTCATAAATATTAATCTGTATATGGATTTGCTGTTTTTGTTTCATTAATCTGTATTCATTAATCTGTCAATAACAGTCACTGGTTTCTGACTCTCTGATGCTCTGAGTTTAATCTGCCGTAGAAATGATGAATCTGAGTCTTCAGAGATTTGAATCGTGATGATCAGAGTTCAGATGTTTCTCTGTTTTCTGATCATCTTCACATTGAGTGTTTATTCAGTTTAACCTGATCAGCTTTATTTCTCTCTCATGAAAACATTCTCACACTCTCGTCTTTTTCAGGTTCACCGTCATTCATAAGAACAGTGATGATGATCTTTACAGTAGTGATGAATGCAGTGATGATCGGTGTTTACATAACGACACTGGAGAAAAGAACAGGTATGATGATAGTTTAATCATGTTTGGAATTACAACGCATCATTGATCAAGCAAATATACGTTTATTTTACAAAGTGTTTTCATGGGAAAGTTCATTAACTTGTCAGAGTCGTGCCACAGATCAGGATATATATAAGTTGATCTTCCCCTCGGTCTCTCTCTCTCTCTCTCTCTCTCTCTTTCATTCACCCTCTCTCTCTCTCTCTCTCTCTCTCTCTCTCTCTCGTTCACCCTCTCAATTAAATTAAATTCAAATTAGCTTTATTAGCATGACTGTAACAATGTTGTCAAAGCATCAACATATTATACTGTATATAAATAATAATAAAAAAAAACATCAAAACATATATGTATAGATCATGTCATATAGTAAATAGATGGATAAATAAACACAATCTATCCTAATGAGTCCCTAAATGCAGTGTGTCTCTAGTGAATTTGCTGTCTCTGGCGTTGTGAATAGCTAACACACACTAGTGCAGCCACACTATCATCTTCTCCCAGTAAGAGCGTCACTCAGTTCACAGAAATCTGGCCAGAAAAGTTTCTCTTATTTTTGCATATTTAGAGCAGAAAGTGTTTCTCATGCTCTGTGCTGTAGATCCTCTGCTCTCGGTCCACACACACACACACACACACACTGCACGTCTCTGCTGGAAGAACGCGGTTCTGTGTTGCTGATTCTCACTGCACTTTAGCTGTTGCTGTACAGAGATGTTTTAATATCAAACGTTTTTCTGCCGATGCAAATTTGTAGGATTTTGTACAGTGGACCATCATGACAAACTGAGTCGAATACTCTTTTAAATCTACAAAACGTTATTGGTTAATGAGTTGGTTAATGAATTGGTTAATGTCAGCCGGATATATTTTTGATACAGATTTTAAAGAAAGGCTTTCTACAAAACTAAACGTAATGAAGTGGTCATATTGCGCATCCCATCTTACTTATGCAGTTCACTTTTCATAATCAACATAGATGGAAAAAAAATTGATAATATTTAAAACTAAATGCGCCTATTTAATGGCTACAACACATATAGGCCTAAAGACTCTGTTTGTACGAATTGCTGCACATTTAATTCTGAATTTTGCACACATAGCTGAAAGGCAATTGTTTGGGTATAGTAAAACATCTGAAACATTTAGCAAGTTCACAGATAATTGTGCGTGCATTTATTAATAATACTAAAATCATAATAAAGTAGGCTATACTATGTACTGTATAAAAAATCTGATAAGCCCAGAATATGAACGCTACTTGTTTAATTACACGTTATGCATTTTCCTCCCATAGAAAACCATTATAAGAAAGCTTAATGTGGCTTAATGCAGATTTGATGTGTGCATGTGAAGATCTTATGTCAAAATAACAAGAAATGTCGAAATAACGACTTAATATTCAATTCAATTTTATTTGTATAGCACTTTTCACAATATCAGAATACATTCACTTAATATCTCGAAATAACAAGATAAGTTTCACCATGCGGTTCAGGGCTTCAATACAGCCTGAATATAATTGCCTCCAGAAATCATTTTTGGGGTGTCATGAGTAGTGTTAATTTTACCAGCCATTTTTAAATTTAGTTTCAGTTTTAGTCCAGTTTCAGCATCGCTTGTTAGTTTTTATCACATTTAGTCGACATCATCCCATTTTTATTTAGTCTAGTTTTAGTCGACTATAAGTCGAGCATTTTAGTCTTTATTTTAGTCCAAGAAAACATAATTTTATTCGTTTAGTTTTAGTCAAAAAAAACTGTCAACATTTTAGTCTAGTTTTAGTCAGGACATGATTTTAACCTTTTACTTTTTTGTCAGCAGATAATATTTAACATTTCCTAAAATTATTTCACTTTTCAACATTTTCTCTCATCTTTTTGATAAACACAATTTTAAGGAACACATGCAGACATGCAAGATGTTCTGACAATATTTGCATATTTATTTTGAACATTGTTAAGGTTCAAAGACACAAACACAAATGCTTGCATTAAAACAAATAAAATACACCTGACAAAGGAAACAAATAAATAAAATAAAGTGTATTATGAACTTAACACAAGTGCTGGCTGTTTAAAGCTAGTTCACATAGAATAAAAAAATAAATAGATTTGAGGTCAATGTTGTGAAAAAAAAAAAAAACTCCAACTGATGCAACAAAAGTGCTTTCCTGCCAGCTAGTTCACATGGTATATAAAGGTACAGTATTTAAGGTGAAACAAGGCATAGCTTGCTAGAACGTATGAAATCTTTTTAAAGCGTCTGTCTGCTTTAATCAAATTTAACTGAAACTATAGTTGCCCGGCCAGTATAACATATCTAAGTTAGCATAAATTTAACTTCACATACAATTCTATCAACAAGTGGCTACGGTCGCTACGTGCTAAGAAGCTAACGTAACATAGCCAGCCTGGATACTAAATGCTATGAAAGTTAGCCATCATTAGTTAGTTTATCATTGTAACAAAATGTGTCCATATATCACATCTCTTCTTTCTCCCGAGCCCCCCGAGTTTTACTTTTAACCTGTCGCCGCCGCCTCACCGTGAATCCAGCTCCTGTCCGTGTTGTGTAGGCTACTCTGACTGACTGTGCCCGCCCGCTCCAGGTTTGAACGTGTGTGTGTGTTGTAGCCGTTTTTCTATAAGTATTTCATTGGAGTTTATTTAATATAATTCATGTATTTGTTTATTAATATTATTATTATTATTATTTGGTATATTTATATTTGTATTTATGTATGTATTTATTTATTTATCAGGCACCTGTCGGGTGAGGAAGAGAGATATGTTATTGTGTGTGGGCGGAAGGGGAAGTGACATGAAAGAACAGATGTTTGGTTTTGGAAAGGGTGGTTTTTCACAGTTTTTTGACCACTTCGCTAACTTGGTTTGGATTTTTCGTTTGTTGAAGTTATAAACTTAATTTAGAAATGTGTTAGAAATAAAACTTTTGAATTGAAGACTGCGTTTGGAGTGAAGTGCGTGCAAAATAATTAATCACCGTTTCCTGAATCCAAGGTCGGCATCGAAAAGCCGACACAATTAAGTCAAAAAACTTGAAGGAATTTGGAGTTTGCACCACGAGCGAAAGGAAAGTGGATTGTGGCTTTTCGTAAGTACATGTGGAACACTTTAATTCGTTAAGCCGCCGCGCTTATGAATCTTGGAAACGGAACGTTGAGAGAAAATGCGGATGCGACGAATATTGTTGAGTCATTACAGAAGAGTGATTTAATGAAATGAAGTTTGTGCTTAATGGAGGATGGATGATGTTGCTGAAAGAGCGATTATGGAAGAAAAGGAATTGTTTAAGTTGCTCGCATCCCGCAGAGGAAAGCTTGGAGCTTTGACGAGAAAACGAAACGAAATAAATGCCGCGATTGAAGCCGGAGAGAATAAAGAATCTGTTGCTAAACATGTGGAAACCTTTAACACCGTGTTGGCGGATTTTATGGAATTGCAAGTGTCTGTGCAAAGTTTGTTGAATGATGAAGAAAAGGAGGCTGACCACACAGACTGGTATGAGCCGAAATTAATTCTCTTTAGGGAATTTCTGAATGGGATTGAAGCATGGATGGATGAAGATCCAAAAGGTGCAATTGAGAATGTCTTGGAAGGTGCTGTTGGGCCTAATGATAGCTTTTCTCAGGCCACTGATAAATCCTCTAAAAATACTTCCCAAAAATCATCTAGAGTTTCTTCTAAAAGCAAAGCGAGTGCTTCTGCTGCTTTTCTACAAGCTGAAGCAGAACGTGCTGCACTAAAAGCTAAAGCCCAAGCTTTGGAACAAAAACATATTTTAGATTTGGAGGAGGCTAAATTAATGGCTAAAAAAGAAAGGCTTGCTTTGGAATCTGAAATGGCTGCAGCAGATGCAAAGGTAAATGTTTTCCTAAAATCGGAATCACTTCTCGAAAAAATGAGCTCGAAAAGCACAAAAAGAAGTGCAAAGGCTGACACAAGCAGTACTTATCCATCAACTGAATATATTGTACCTGCAAGAACACCAAAGGTTCAAACAAGTCAAGATAAAAAAGCAAAAAGGTGTACATCGACTCCAACTGTTAATCAACAGCCAAGCCATGAAGCAAATCAGAGACATAAAAGGGATGTGTCAACTTTAAACAATACAACTCTTGCAGATGTTTTGAAGAAACAAAATGAATTAACATCTTTGTTGATAAAGCAACAGCAATCAACCCTTCTTCCAACGAGGGAAATTCCTGTGTTCGGAGGAGATCCTCTACAGTTCAGATCCTTCATTAAAGCATTCGAGCAGGGTATTGAAAGCAAGACTGAGAGTATGCAAGACAGACTCTATTACTTGGAACAATTTACAGTTGGACAACCCAAAAATTTGGTTCTCAGTTACATGCACATGGATCCTGTAAGAGGGTATACGGAAGCAAAGCAGCAACTTGAATGGAATTTTGGTAACAGTATAAAGATCGCATCTGCTTTCATGGAAAAGGCATTGAATTGGACTGCTTTACGAGCAGAGGATGGACCAGCACTGCGATCATATGCACTCTTTCTTCGTGGATGTTTCAACACTATGCAAGAAGTTAATTTTGTGGATGAGCTGGAAAATTCAGCCAACTTGAGAACAATTGTTTCCAAACTGCCTTTCAAGCTTCGCGACAAATGGAGAACAATTGCTTGCAGTATACAGGATAATCACAAGAAGAAAGTGGAGTTTAAAGATCTTCTTGAATTCATTGAAAAAGAAACACGAGCTGCATTGGATCCTGTATTTGGTGACATACAAAGCCTAACAGACAGAAGGGTAATCCCTAAAGCCAAAGCAACTGCTAAGCCCAGTTTCAATTCTGCCAGCAGAGGCAGCAGTTTTGCTACCACTGTTACCACAGTAGCAGAAAAGATGAACGACAAACTAAAAGTAAGTCATATTGCCTCAAATGCAATGGAAAAGCCATGCATGTTTTGTGGCAAAGACCACATAATGGAAGTCTGCGATGTATTCAAAGGTAAACCTAACAAAGAAAAGGTGGAATACCTAAAGGCCAAAGGTTTGTGCTTTGGATGTTTGGGACATGGGCATATGAGCAAAGTCTGCCAGAACCGTAAGAGTTGTCAGATTTGTCACCAACGTCACCCAACCATTCTACATATCGAGAGTAAGGAAA